CCTGTATATCTCTAGTCAGCGGTGAACAAAACCAACAGCAGATTTGGAACCCCCAGACAGGAACCTCGCTCACTCCCCACATGTCTCCCCACTTCACTTTCCACCTTTATGGGCAGCAGGAGAATCAACGTTTTCTCTCATCAATTCAGAAAAGCACGTCCTGTCACCGCTGCCTGGCAGGAGTGCGCTAGGCCCCAAGCAAGCGAGGCTCAGTCAGGGCAGCTTTCGCTCATGGGTGCTGGCACCCAAAGTGCACATTCCTTCTCTACAGTCGCCCTGACTATCCCACTATTTCACTGAGAGGATGGAATTCCTTTCCGCCACTGGGTTCTTGATCATGAACACTGACCAAAGGCACCTCAGCAAGGGCCACCTGCACCCCCCAGCTGTGTCTATCTGCACCTGCTCCTGCCTCAGCACCTGCATTAACCCCCCAGAGGTGATCTCATAGCTGCACTGGCCTCATAGCTGATGGCCTGGGAACAGGGCATCACCACTCCGCCCTCTCACTGTCATCTCACAGGCACCCACTCTCAGCACCCAGAACACCCAGACACTCTCCAAAGGACGTGAGCGCATCAGAGGGGATGTGTGCACATACTGTGGGGGTGTTAGGCATGCCGGGTTGATGGAAGTGTGGTGGAGAGGCGGGGGGAACTTACGCACGCCTTGGTTTACAACTGTTGCAGGCACGGGAGGGTGACAGTGTGCTGGGGGATGTTCGCATGCCAGGGGGGATGTGCACACCGGAGGCCTCTGGCTTTGCAGATCCACAAACCCCCATGGTGCGGCCAGGAGGACGTCAGTCTGGCCCCCATGGGGGCTGTCCCTGCGAATCTGGGTCCTGGGACCACCGACAGCCTCAAGCACTGCCTCCCGCCCAGCAGGGTCACAGATCCGGGTCCCGGCACCGCAAACAGCCTCAAGCAATGCCCCCTGCCCGGCAGGGTCACAGATCTGGGTCCCGGGACTGCAGACAGCCTCAAGCACTGCCCCCTGCCCAGCACGGTCACAGATCCGGGTCCCGGACTGCGGACAGCCTTTCCTGCTGCCACCTGCCTTCAGTATGCAAATTAGCCACCATCTTCTTACTTCAGGGTAGGGGTCCCCAGTGGGCTGCCTGGCCAGTCTCGGTGAGGGGATGATGGCTGTTTGCAGCTGGTCACACCCCCTTCAGGGTGGGGGTCCCCACTGGGGTGCCTGGCCAGTCTGGGTTAAGGGATGATGGCTATTTTCAGGCTGGCAGGCAACTGAGGCTCCCAACCTCTCCTTTCTTTCCATTCTGGGATTTATTTACCTTCTATGGCTGTCACTGGAGCTGAGAGCTGGTTTTAGTTCTGAGGCTCAGCTCCAGCTATGAGATCTCCGCTGCTGAAAGCAGGGATCTGGGTTTGTTTGGGTTCTATAATTATAACACTGTTGTGATCCTGCTGGCTGAAGCCCGGCTGGCTAAAAACAGGTTTCTGGGGAATGTTTACCTTCTATATTTGCAACAATGTTTCTTAGAGTTGCATCTCAGAGGCCGGCAGCAGCAGGCAGGGAACCTTGGCTTCCTCCGTCACTGGAGCAAGCAAGCCTCCTGTTTGCTTCAGGTGCCTGGCTGCTGGCCGCCATCTTGGTTGGCAGTTAATTTGCATATCTCGCTGATTAGCCAATGGGAAGTGTTCAGGGCCACGGTCAATTTGCATGTTTCTCTTTTATTAGATAGTATATGCATAAAAGTTCAGCCCTTGCCAGTTTGGCCTACAGACCAAAGGGACCCGGGACTGATTCTAGTCAAGGGCGTGTACCAGGGTTGCAGGCTCCTTCCTGGCCTGGGCCCTGGTCAGGGCGTGTACAAGAGGCAACCAATTGATGTGTTTCTCCCACATAGATGTTTGTCTTTCTCTCTCTCTTCCACTCTCCCTAAAAATCAATGGAAAATATTCTTGGGTGAGGATTAACAACAAAAAAAAAAGTTTGTAGTTTGTTGGTTAATCTCTTCCCACACACCCATTCTTATCTTCCATCTGAGATTACACAGTTTATTCCATTCTTCAATGTCTTTGTACCAATTTTGTTTATCAGTTTATTTTGTTCATTAGATACCACATATGAGTGCGATCATGTGATACATGTCTTTCTCTAACTGGTTTATTTCATTTAGCATAATACTCTCTATATCCCTCCATGCTCTCTCAAATGATAAGAGATGCTTCCTTTTTTAATGCTGCATGGTATTCCATGGTATAAATGTACCACAGCTTTTTTTTAACTACTCATCTTCTGATGGACACTTAGCTATTATAAATTGTGCTGCTATGAACATAGAGGTGAATATATTCTTTCCAATTGGTGTTTGTTTTGTTTTTGTTGTGTGTTTTGTTTGTTTTTTTTGTTTTAGGATATATTTCTAGAAAGTGAATCACTGGGTCAAATAGCAGTTCCATATTTAATTTTTTGTGTGAAAACTTCGTACTGTTTTCCATTGTTGCTGCACCAGTCTGCATTCCCACCCGCAGTGTACCAGGATTCCCCTTTCTCCACATCCTTTCCATGACATTTTATTTATTGATTTGTTGATAATAGCCATTCTGACAGAAGTGAGGCAATACCTCATTGTCATTTTAATATGCATCTCTCTGATGGTTAGTGACTTTGAGAATTTTTTTCATGTGTCTCTTGGACATCTGTATGTCCACCTTAGAGAATTGTCTATTTAGGTCCTTTGCTCATTTTTAATTGGATTTTTTGTCTACCTTTTGTTAAGTTGTAAGAATTACTTATATATTTTGGATATTTACCTTTTATCAGATGTATCATTAGAAAATATGTTCTTCCATATATTGGGCTCCATTTTTATTTTTGTTGATGGTTTCATTTGAAGTGCAGAAGCTATTTATTTTGATGTAAACCCATTTGTTTATTTTCTCTTTTGTTTCCCTTGACTATGGAGATGTATCAGCAAGCATATTGCTATGAGAAATGTATGAAATTTCACTGCTTATGATTTCCTATAAGATTTTTATGGTTTCATGACTTACATTTAAGTATTTTATTAATTTTGACTTTATTCTTGTGTATGGTGTAAGTTGGTGGCCTAGTTTAATCTTTTTGCATGTATCTGTCCAATTTTCCCAATACCATTTATTGAAGAGCCTGTCATTCCATTGTATGCTCTTTCCCCCTCTGAAAAATATTAATTGAGCGCGATTGCATAAGTTCATTTCTGCATTCTAGGTCCTGTCCCATTGAGGTATATGCCTGTTCTTGTATGATTGCCAAGCTCTTTTGATTACAGTGGCTTTGTAGTATAACATGATATCTGGTATTATGATGCCTCCAACTTTGTTCTTCTTTCTCAAGATTGCTGTGGCTATTTGGGGGGTCTTTTATGATTCCATATAAAATTTTGGAATATTTGTTATACATCAATGATATGTGCTGTTGGTATTTTAATAGGGATTGTATTGAATCTGTAGATTGCTTTGGGTAATATGAACATGTTAATGATATTCTACCATGAACCTGGTATATTCTTCCACTTGTTTATATATTCTTCTATCTCTTTTTCCATGCCCTATAGTTTGTGAGTACAAATATTTTACCTCCTTGGTTAAATTTATTCGTAAATATTGTAATTGCTTTGTTGCAGTGGTATTCAGGATATTTGTGTGTGTGTGTGTGTGTGTGTGTGTGTGTGTTTTAGTTTATATTTCTGAGAATACATTTTTGGTGTATAAAAATGCCATTGATTTATGGATGTTAATTTTGTATCCTGCTACATTGCTAACTTCATTTATTAAGTCTAGTAGTTTCCTAGTAGAATCTTTAGGGGTTTCTATGTACAATAGCATGTCATCTGTGAAGAATAACATTTTACATCAACCTTTCCAATTTGGATGACTTTTATGTTTTTTTCTTCTCTGATCATTGTGGGTAAGGCTTCCAGTGTTATGTTGAATAAGAGTGGTGAAAGTGGACATCTCTGTCTTATTCCTGTTATTAGGTAAAATGGTTTTAGTTTTGCCCATTGAGTATGATGTTGGCTGTAGGTTTCACATACATGGCTTTTATTATGTTGAAGTATGAGACCTCTATTCCCACTTTGCTGAGAGTTTTAATAAAAAAAAAAAATGGGTGTTGGATTCTGTCAAGTGCTTTCTCTGCACCTATTGATATGGTCATGTGAATTTTGTCTTTCAGTTTGTTTACATGATGTATCACATTTATTGATTTGCAAATATTGTATCTGCATTGCATCTCTGAAATAAGTCCTATTTGGTGATGGCATATGATCTTTTTAATATATTGCCCACTTTCATTGGGTAATACTTTGTTGAGAATTTTAGCAACTATGTTTTTCAGGGATATTGGCTGTAATTCTCTTTGTGGTCTCTTTATCTGGTTTTAGAGTTAGATTGATGCTGGCTTCATAAAGTTTCAAAGTATTCATTCTTCTTGGATTTTTTGGAATAGTTTCAGGAGAATAGTTGTTAGTTCTTATTTGAGTGTTTGGTAAAACTCCCCTGTGAAGCCATCTAGACCAAGGTTTTAGTTTATTGGGAGTTTTTATTTATTTATTTTTTTAAATTAAATCTTTATTGTTCAGATTATTACAGCTGTTCCTCTTTTTTCCCCCCTCATAGCTCCCCTTCACCCGGTTCCCACTCCTCCCTCTCCCCTTATCCCCGCCACCCACTGTTCTCATCCATAGGTGTACCATTTTTGTCCAGTCTCTTCCCACACCCCCCACACCTCTTCCCCCCCCAACAAGAATAGTCAGTCCACTCCCTTTCTATGCCTCTGATTCTATTATATTCCCCAGTTTATTCTGTTCTTCAAATTTTTTATTCACTTGATTTTTAGATTCACTTGTTGATAGATGTGTATTTGTTTTTCATAATTTGTATGGGGTTTGGAAGTGCCCAGACGAGGCCCAGCTGTGAAGCAAGGCCACTGCTGCTGCCAGGTAGTGGGCCTTCTTTTGGAATCTCTGGGGCTCCCTGACCCAGCTGCAGGTTGTTTGACAGGTTCTAGGCTGAGAACAGACAGGCGATTCATATGCAAAAGTTGCTGTGCACAGCTTGGGTGGGGTTGTAAATTGGGTGAGGGAGTGGGGATATTTCAAATTTTTGACTTTATTCTTGCGGTCCTCTAGTCTGCTGTTGGAACTATGTATAATATCCTTTATTTCAGTCAGTGTATGCTTAATTTCTAGTTGGTCCTTTTTCATAACCTCGAGGGTCTCACTAGATTTCTTGAGGTTCTCACTGAATTTATCAGCGGTTTCTAGAAAATTATTGAAAAACTTTAAGTGTTGTTTTGAACTCTATATCCAGTACTTTGCTTTCCTCCATTTCTGTCATTTGTGACCTGTTTCTTTGTCTCTGCATTTTTTATGCTTCCCTGTGTAGATAGAGTGGCTTTCTGTGTTAGGTGTCCTATAGGGCCCAGTGACTTATCCTCCACAATTACCTGAGGTGCACTCCTTTGTGGGCTTTGTGCACAGTCTTGTAGTTAAGCCTTGACTGTTGTAGTTATCACTGGGAGGAATTGACCTCCAGGCTAACTGGCTTTGAGAATCAGCTATTTCTGCAGTGGGAGAACTTCTGAGCTGGAGACACCCTTCTGGGGTAAGACTTGCTTCAGTGGGGCTTTGGTGCTCACTGAGTCTGCCCCCTGAGTGTGTCCCTTATGGATCTAAGGAGTTGTAATCTGGATGGTCCCAGTCTGACCACTGGGTACACTGGCTCTTGGATCTCTAAGGAGGTGCTAATTTAGCCTCTGCCTGAGGCCACCCAGCAGGAGCTATGGAGAGATTCTTCTTTTTTGTTTCGGGTTTGGAGGTGCACAGATGAGGCCCAGATGTGAAGTAATGCATCCTGCTCTGGGGCCTTGGACCTTCTTTTGGAAGTTCTGGGTCTCTCTGATTCAGCTGCAGTTTGTTAGGTAATTTTCAGGATGCATAGGGCCAGGCCTTTCATCTTCAAAAGCCGCTGCACACAGCTTGGGTGGGGCGTGGTCTCAGGGGATCAACAGGGCAGAGCAAGCAGCTATGGCTGCTCCCCAGTCCTACCTTAAGAGGCCCCGCATCTCAGTGTCCCGGTAATCACTGCAAGCATCTCTGAAAGCCACCCTCGAGTTCTGCCCAGTGCCAGACAGTCCAGTTTCTCCCCGTATGAGTCTGGGTCCCCAGAGATTCACCCGGAACTGGAGTTCAGAGCAGTCAAGAGCTTGAGACTCCCTCCCGATTGAAAAAGACAACCTTGTCCTCAGTTTCCAGCCCTCTCCACGTGTGCTGCGTCCTCAGCTGCCAGCCCTTTCCACATGCGCTGCGTCCTCAGTTTCCAGCCCTTTCGGTGTGCGCCTCCGTACCTCTGCACTTTACTTCCGCACCTCCTCTGAGTCTCAGTGTGCCTTTCTCATTCCTTCTAGTTTTAGAATTTCCACTCAACCAGCCTTCCTGTGGTTCTGGATGAGGTCTGTTTTGTCTTTTAGTTGTATTTTTGAAGTGGTTGTGCGAGGCAGCAATTTCTGGTGTTTACCTATGTCACCATCTTGATTTTTCCGGAGTTTTTAAATTATTATTATTAGTGCTTCAATTTCATCAGTTGTTATTGGTCTATTCAGGTTTTCTGATTATTCCTGATCTAATTTCGGAAGATTGTATTGTTTTAGGAATTTATCCATTTCATCCACATTTTCCAGCTTGTTGTTCATAGTACTTTCTTATAATCATTTAATTTATGTTGTGTTAGTTGTTACTTTATGGCTTCATTTCTGATTTTATTTATCTGGGTCCTCTTTCTTTCTTTCTTGATGAGTCTGGCTAAAGGTTCATCATTTTTTTTTTATCCTTTCAAAGAACCAGCTCTTTGTTTCATTGATCTTTTCTTTTGTTTTTTAGTCTCTAGGTCATTTATTTCTGCTCTAATCTATATTATTTCATTTCTTCTATTTACCTTGGGTTTTTTTGTTTTTCTCTTTCCAAGTTTTTAAGTTTCAGGGTTAAATATTTTATTAATAACTTTTTTTATTTCTTTAAGTAGGCCTGTAGTGGTAAGAACAAAGAACTTCCCTCGCAGGAACGCTGACACTGTGTGCCATAAGGTTTTGTTTGTTTCTTGTTCAGTTTAATTATTTTCCAGGAAGTATTTTTTACAATTTATTTCTTGATCTCATTGGTAACCCATTCATTGTTTAATAACATGCCATTTATCCTCCATGTGTTTGAAGGTTTTTGAATGTGTTTACTGTAGTTGATTTTTAATTTTATGCCATTGTGATCTGAGAATATGCTTGACATGATTTAAATCTTCTTGAGCTTGCAGAGATTTATTTTATCCTAACGTGTAGTTTATCTTAGAGAATAATCCATGTACACTTGAGAAGAATGGATAGTTTTCAAGTTTGGTGTGAAATATTCTGAAAATGTAAATTAAATTTATCTGATCCAAGTGTCAATTAGAGTCACTGTTTCCTTGTTGATTTTTTGTCTGACCGATCTATCCAGTGAAATCAGTGGGGTATTATAGTCCCCTACTATGACTGTATTGATTTCAATCTGGGTTGTTAGATGAGTATTGCTACCCCATTTTTTTTTGTTTTCATTTTAATTGAAAGTATTCCTCCATTCCTTCACTCTCATCCTGTGTGAATCTTTTGTTCTAAGGTAGGTCTCCTGTACACAGCATATATTTGTGTCATGTTTTCTTATCCATTTAGCTAAGCTATGTCTTTTAATTGGAGCATTTAATCTATTTATATTCAAGGCTTTTATTTATTTTTTATTTTTTTAATATATTTGTATTAATTTTTTACAGAGAAGAAGGGAGAGGGACAGAGAGCCAGAAACATCAATGAGAGAGATCAATCAGCTGCCTCCTGCACAGCCCCCACTGGGGATGTGCCTGCAATCAAGGTACATGCCCTTGACTGGAATCAAACCCAGGACCCTTGAGTCTGCAGGCCGATGCTCTATCCACTGAGCCAAACTGGTTCGGCAAGGCTTTTATTTATATATATTGATAGTTACTTATTTATTGCCATTTATTTCTGTGGGGAAGAATGGGACCTGGTTGAAAAGTCTGTAAGGAAGATTCTCTGAAAGGTCTGGGGCCTTAAGGGAGCCCTGCTGAAGGCAACAGCCCCTGCCTTGACTTTTCCAAACAAATCCAAGCCCCCGGGTGTTTTACTGGAATCTCTTTACACCCGACTTTATGTGCTTTCTCAATGATACTTACCCTGCTGATTGTATCTAGAGGTTAATTTTAGTTTAAGCTGTTACAATAAAAGCCTAAGGAGGCAGGTGAATGGGTCTGTTTGGTCCCTATAGCCAAGAAGCCCCTTAGCCCTCTCTTTCACAGAAACATGTGTCAGAGTAATCCATTCATCCATCACTGACCAGGGTCTGCTGGTCAGTCCCAGAATATTTCTTTGTGCTCTTGTTTCTCTCTCTATTTCTTCTTATTACAGCAGTCTGTTTAGTATTTCTTGCCATGCTGGTTTGGTGATGATAAACTCCTATAGCCTTTTTTTGTGTGCATCTGAGAATCTCTTTATTTCACAATCTATTTTGAATGTTTGTCTTGGTGTAGATAGTACTTTTGGTTTCAGATCCTTGCTTTTTGTTACCTTGAATACTTCATGCCATTCACTTCTGATCTATAGTGTTTTTGATGAAAAAACAGCTGACTCACTTAGGGGAACTCCTTTGTAGTTAAAAAATGCTTTTTATCTTGATGCCTTTAATATTCTTTCTTTGCCTTTAATTTTTGTCATTTTAATTATTATGTGTTGGGGCTTGAGCTTCTTTGGGTTTTTCTTACTTGGGACTTTCTGTTTCTCCTGAACTTGTGTGACATTTTCCTTCATCAGGTTAAGGAATGTTTCTGGCATTATTTCTTCAAAAAGATTCTCTATCCCTTGCTCACTTTCTTCACCTTCTGGCTTTCCTATGACGTGAACATTTTGACATCTCATTTTGTCCCACAGCTCTCTTAAGCTGTCTTCCTGTTTTTATATTTTTAATTCTCTGATTGATTTTTTTCTACCCTGTCTTCTAATTCATGGATTAGATCCTCAGTTTCCCATAATCTTCTGTGTATTCCTTCTAGTGGGCTCTTTATTAGTGCAATGTCATTCTTCATTTCCGATGGTCATTTTTCATAGTGTCTATATCTTTTCTCAAGCTCTTAAGTATCTTTGTAATCATTATTCTGAATTGCATATAGGATAAGTTTCTTATCCTCATTTCATTAAGCTCTTTTTTTGGAAAATTCTCTTATTCTTTCATGTGGGGCTTGTTTTTTGTCTCCCCATTTGGCTGCCTCTTTTGGTTTGTGTCTATGTATTAGGTAGATTTGCTACAACTCCAAGTCTTTGGTGCAGAACAATGTCACACACTCTTTGTGATTGGCCCTGAATACCCTGTTTGTAGCTATGAGCAATCCACAGCTTGTGGCACCCTCTGCTGGGGCTTGATGCTTTTGGAAAGGGCCAAGATGTGCACCAAAGTCTGCTTCTCCTAGCCTCAGGTTCAGAAGGAGATCAGGCAAAAACTCAAAGCCCCCCCAAAAATGACCTTTGCCTGCAGTTCGATTGTTATTCTCAGTCTTTATATGCCTGAGGCTATAGGCCACAGCGAGGAGTGGACACAACACAGTGGGGTGAGAGGTTTGCCAACAGTGTGGGGAAATTTCTTCCTGCTACCCCCTAAGCAAAAGATGCCTGGATTTTAAATGTCTGCCTAAGAAAGAAGTCCTCTACAGTATGAGGGAATGACTCAGCATGGGAAACTGGGGCAGCTGCCTTCTGAGTTCTATCCCTAGAGCACCCAACACTGGATTCTCCTCAGAAAGTTCTAGACCACTCTGCCCTCCCTCTTCCAGAACCCAAGGTGAGTGACTGTGCACGAAATTTTGTGCATTGTCCCTTTAAGAGGATGCGTGCATTTTCGGCCATCTCTCCCTGGCAAACAGCAACCTTGCTGCTTTTTACAACCACATATTATGTGGACACTTTTCTCAGTTCTAGTGTTCTGTATTGGGGAGCCCAGATTGGAGTTTAGACCCCAGAGTTCTCAGGGGGAACCTCCCATAGCTGAGATAGCCCTCTGGAACCTCAACTGTTGTTTGTGGGAGCCCAGCCATCCCCCTCCCAACTCCACACTTCCTATCAGTCTCTATGCAGTCTCCACTTTCCATCCTTGGTTATCAGCATTCTCTCCAGCTAGTCTTCAGGATGGTTTTTCTATATTTTATTTGTAATTCCAGTTTGGTCCTGGGAGAGTGTCAGTAGATCTTCCACTTAATCTGCCACCATTTTCTACTCTCTGCTTTTCAACTTTTAAATCTAAACTTTTCCTTCACTTTAGGCCAGAATTTCCTATATGACAATTTCTTCAGGACTAAAAAACAAACTCTTCATGTATCAAAGTTGAAGTTCCTATAGTAAATTCATAGTACATAATCTTCCTATACCTTTAATATGTTCTTATTGATTTCAGGGAGAGGAATGGGGAGGGAGGGAGAGAGAGAGAGAAAAATAAATCAGTGATGAGAGAGAATCATTTGTTGGCGGCTTCATTTATGCCCCCAACTGGGAATGGAGCCTGTGATGCAGGCTTTGACTGGGAATCAAACATGACCTTCTATTTCATGGGTCAACACTCAACCACTGAGCAACACTGGCTGTCCTAAGCTTCTTATTTTTAATACTATTCTCTGATTCATTATAAAAAAATTTCCCCCAAAAAAGGAGGCTATTCTAGTAAACTAAAACACTTGGCTTGACATCTTCTTACAAAAATATAGCCATTTCTAGACAGTGTTTTTAATATACTTAAAATAACATATTCTACTATTCAGGGCAATGAAAATGGTAGATACTAAAATCTGGAAAGCTTGGATATTATCAAATTTATCAAATAAATGACACTCCAAAAAATTCTGAGAAATGCAAATAACATTTTAAAATATTTTGGTCCAGTTATCATAATAAGTAACTCCTTTTTGCCAGATCATCTATTTTCCCCCCCATGAATGCCTAAATTGTCAGGCTCACCTTCTTCCTCAGGGTTTACACATCATTGAGAATTATAGGCACTATCCTGTCCATTTTCTTGGTCCAGAACATCGTCCTCCATATATATATATAATTAAATTTTATTGGGGTGACATTAGTCAACATGAACATATAGGTTTCATGTGTGGATTTCTAAGTTCCAAAATCTGTGTATTGCACCATATGCCCACCAGCCAAAGTTAAATCTTGTCCTGTAACCACATATAAGAAGCCCCTTCTCCCCTCAACCCCTTCCCTCTGGCAACCATTGCTGTTTGTATCCATGAGTTTCAGTTTTATATCCTATATATGAGTGAAATCATATGGTTCTTAGCTTTTTCTGTCTGACTTATTTCACTTGGCATAATGTAATCAAGGGAAAATTTTGGAGCCACTAAGATTTCTGTGTTCCAAAGAAGGTATTTTTTTTTATAATTTTATTGTTGAAATTATTACAAATGTCCTGTCACCCCCATTGACCCTCTCTGGCCGGCACCCCCCCCCCAAGATTTTACTACATCATTGTCTGTATCCACAGGTTAAGTATATATGCATACAAGTTCTTTAGTTAATCTCTTCCCACCCACCTCGCCTTCCCTCTGAGATTTAAAAATCCGTACCATGCTTCTATGTCTCTGGATCTATTTTCTTCATCAGTTTATTTTGTTCATTAGATTCCACATATGAGTGAAATCATGCGATACTTGTCTTTCTCTGACTGGCTTATTTTGCTTAGCATAATACTCTCCAGGTTCTTCCATTTTTAAAGGTAGTTCTGTCACAGCTAGTTTTAATTATTGAACTCTTTCTAATATCAAAAAAATGCCTGTGTTCTATTTTCTTTTGAAAAAAGTAATGAATTAGTTTCATGTTCCATGCAGAAGTATCACCAAATATATTTGAATACTATACATTTTAGATCACACTTCATTCTTGACCAGAGTTTCCTAGCTAGTTTTTCACTATCACCCACTTAAGGAGTCTTTTTAGACATTTTTTTTTCTAATCACAACCCCATAAGATTTTAATACCACATATATACTACATATCTGTGTATTCACTGAGGCCCTTCAGGGGGTCTTACACAATTTAATATCTAAGTTTTTTGCTCTACTCTCAACAACTAATTTTTGCCCTGTTGAGAGTGCATACTGTAGGCACAGGGCTATTTCCTATTTGTTATTGTGGAATATTTTTATGAAAGGGCTGTCTCTAGATTCTTTCATTTGTAATAATAACACTTGAAGGCTAGTATATTTAACGGTCAGATTTTTTCTGTAGTAATTCAAGCTTAGTGAGACCTTGACCTTAGGAAGGACAATGGAAATGGAAGAGTTTATACTGTAACATAAAAAATATCACACTCATTCCATAACTAATAAAAGTGTTGGTATAAGGAAAACCAACATTAATAGTATCCTCAACAAAAAGAGTATCAGATTTTATCTGTAACAGGTTTCAATGGTGGAAAAAGTAGTCATTTTATATTTCACTTCCCCATATTTTGCCCTATAACTAGAGTTGAAAGTTCTAAAATTTAACTCCACCTTTTATAATTACTTATTCAAAGATGTCCTACCTTTCCTGCAGGTAAGTATCTATCCATTATGTTACTTCTCTTAGCCCAAAATATTGTTTTCAGGGTTCTAAAATCAAAATTAACCCATTCATTGTCCACAATAATATAGCCATGTTCTTTTTCTATGTTTTCCTTTTAGCCCCTTCCATTTATGCACACGTATTTCCCAATAAATCATATTAATAAATTATTCTCTTGTATGAATTAATTTATCATCCAGAAGAATAATAAAATTTGACTCTTTGAGACTGTGTATTTCATTTATCAAGGGTTAATGGAAATGTTCACACTCAAAACTATATCCCAGGAGTTAGAATGTTTGACTTAGTACACTTAAGTAATGCAGTTGAGTTTTAATTTCAGTGAATTTGAAATAGGGCAGTATATTTGTTAGATATAAAATTTCATTTAGGGGCAAATTGCTTTTGTAATAAGTTCCTGCCTTCACATGGAATATCCCTCTTTTCTCTTCTAGCCTTTAATGACCCTCTGTTACAGAGAATCCCAATTAGACTAGTAAATCCATTGAAATGAGCAAAAAGGTCAGGAGAAATGAGGGAGAAGTGAGACAACAAAGGGAATGAGAATAAAAGAAGTGAGGGAGAGGGAGGGCACATCCCATACTTCACCCATAGGGGATTTTTTGCCAGACATTCAATTTCACTCCAGGTAGCTTTAGCAAATATGGGTCCTTTTCACATAGTACCTCAAGGGATTTCATTTGGAACTTGAAAATATTTTGCTAGATCCAGAGGAATAGATACATCAAACAGACTGTCAAACCTCAGAGGGAAGGCAGGGGAGGGTGGGTGGATGGGAAGATATCGACCAATGAACTTGTATGCATATACACATAACCCATGGACACAGACAATAGGATGGTGAAGGCCTAGGGTTGGGGATAGCAGTGTTCTGGGAGAGGTCAATGGAGGAAAAAGGGTACATATGTCACACTTTCAACAATAAAGATTTTTTTTAAAAAGAAGAAAATACTTTGTTAGTGCAGAATTCTACAGCTTTGCTATAAGCTGGAATCTGATAT